GTATGGAGGTGTAGTCTATCTGGCTCTGGTTCTGAAGATGTGACCCTTGGTGACAACTAAAAATCGGCTACAATGGCTCAAATGTATTCACTCTTCGACATCTTTTAAGATTTGGACATTATCACTAACATTACTTTTCAAGTACTTTATCCTCCCATTCACCTGTGCCTAATTTGTTATCACTCTTACCTACTTACTAGTGTGACAGCTTAAATCTGTACCAGGTTCTACTTAGGTTTTGTGTATCGGTCTCTGTCAAATTTTATCACAAAGTTAAACTACACATGATTAATATAAGGTTTATGTGAGTCTGTAACTATGTTTCAGTTGCCGTTTATGTGAGTAATGAAGTACTTTTTAAATTTGTTTACTGACCGTACTATCTAAGTCGTGGTTCGGTCGATTTGCTATGTATACGGGATGAAATAAAAATCTATAGCCTTCAAAACTGACTCGTTGCTCCCCCAGCTTAGTTACGATACCCAGCTGATGATCAGGACTTGACCTGACTTCAATCACCGATGGTTTTGCCTTGTCACTGATTGGCGTGGAAACCTAGTTAGCAGACGAATCTTGTAGCTCAAATTTGTTTTTATAAACAACTTGGTACCTCAGCGTCAAGGGATGTGTCATACAAATAATTTAGCAATACCACGAAAAAAAGTGGGGACCGAAAACAGAGATGGGTTATTCAAGAAGCAATCTAGGAGATAAATTCAAAGAGACATCCACTACTTTTGCCTTACTGCTCGACGTAAAAAACATGAGAAAGCTGCAGCATGATCAGTGTCTTAAATTCTTAGACTTACGTGCTATCTTTTCAAACAGCGTGGTCTCTGGAACACTATCCAGAGCCAGTTAGGCACCTAAAGGTAAGAATACAACAATCCGTCTTCCCACTGCACCCTGTTGCACTTTGGTTACACATCTTTGATTTATTCCCAGAATGAGCGAACAATGAAAGGTACGGTAGTTGCTTGGATGAAATTTGTAGCACAAACCAAGCCACAAAAGCTAGTTTTTGAGGATGATAACCTAATGAATAACGTTAACCACCACATCCGAACACGCACTTCACTTCATAATGCTTTACATGATACATATTCACTAGATGTTAACAACCTTACAAAAAAAACGGCGATCGAACAAAAATGTAAGGAATTTTGAAATAGAGCGTAGTGTAGCTGTCAACGTTGATGCGATTTATAACCGGGCTTTTACAGTCAGACTAATGCCACAGAGGTGCGAAAGGCCACATATATTGGCGTAGCTCGTTCTGGTATTCCATGTGCCGGTGAAAATCCCAGCATTCCTATCTCCGAAAGTCCGCAAACAAGCAGACAAGAGCACGAAGCTAACCAACTCTCAGCGGTTTCATCATTCAAATTAAATGCCAACACATGCTTCTGTCACTCCTGTAACACCACTGTATTCCCAATAAGAAGGGGGTTAGAAAACGCCAGCCCCTAAAACAACACACTCCTCCCTGTCCCACGGCCTTCAGGTGCCGACGGTATGGGTTCTGCCTATCCAACGTTAGAACAAACGAACTGTCAAACACTGTGTGACAGGCCTCCTCAAGCAGATATTCCATGGGGTATGTGGTCAAACAAATGTTCTTCTCTTTCAGATACAATCAGCAGAACAAGCCTTCCACTCTGTGGACAGCCGAGAAGTGTCATTCGCCAGTAGACGAGACTCAATCAAACACAACCTATCTTCCTCAACTCTCTCTTCCTTTGTCTTCACCTCGTGATATTGATATTCAGTCTCTTGCGCCTTACCCAACCTCTCACTCTGGCTGCAGCCATTGTCAACTGTCAGAGCTGTTGAAACGTGATTCCTAGTGTCCTACGACCTTATCATCGATTTTATGCAGTAGTTTGCAGTGTCCGAACTCTATGCCAAGTCGGATAGGAAGCACCGCTGACTAGAAGTGTGGAGTCTTTTGTCATGGATGTGTGCTGCGTCTCAGAGACGTGTTTATAGGACGCGAGTGTGGTTATCAAATTGACATGACCTGACCAGTACGGTGAATCTTGTAAATTCACCTTGGGAGAATCTGGATACCCAATGGCTAGCTGTCGTTGACTTTGTGGTGTGGGCGTAGGATTGGGCTGTGTGTATGTGGGCCAGAATGTGCGGTTGTCGACTGGATACCAGCAAACATCCGTCAATGTGCTGTTTGACCGAATGAATGTTTGATAGTTAATAAGGATCGTGAAACTTGTAGATATCTATTTGTAATCTCCGCATACACATCCACCGACTGGAGTTTGGGTGATGCAAATGATGAATTGTATGGAAAGCTGTCAACGTTGCTACAGAAAGCAAACCATTCGGATGCAGTTACAATGGCAGGTGATTAATGCTCGAATAGGGAAGCTGAGTCAATGGAAAAGACATCTTTAAGGTGTTTACGGAACGCCAAGGCAACGAACCGACAACGGTGATCGTTCTGACGAGGACTAACTTTAAGCATGAGGAGAGGCACTCACTGTTTCAGATGGCGTCCGCTGACTTCGAACCGATGATGGACACAGCTCATACTGCTATGAGTCATCGTTGGGGGATTGTCGCTCTTTCTGGAGTACCAGTTTGAAGTTTTGACCACGCGCTAGTACGAGGTCTTGTATTTCTGTGGCTTACTGGCCACAGGAAACAGGTGGGAGTGAAGCCTATCTGTGCTCGATTTGAAGATGAGGACGCTAAGTAGGCGTTTAGAGAGAAGTTATGTAAGCATTTATCTGAACATGACAGCAATACTCATGCTAATAATAAGTCTGGTGTATGGACAGCGATAAAGACAATTGGTAACCTACAGCCGAAGGTTAGAAAATGTCATTGAATTTCCTGAACGTCATCGGAAGTGATTGATGTGATAAGACTGATTCTAGCTGGCTGTGACGACAGTGAAAAGCGAGAGCAGCTGCAAGGTAGATTGACGAAGAGTCTTCTCGTGGATGGCGAGTAGTGGTGGGTGACGAGAGGGGGAGCGAGAATGATGGAGAAGGTATCAGCGTTGGGTAACAGTCGGTAAGTATTTAGGTTTATCAAGGATACTGGAAGGAAGGAAGGAAGGAAGAAGGAAGGAAGGAAGGACGATGGTTAGTGGAAACCATGAGCGAAAAGGATGGGATGCTGATAGTTTCCGGTGGCTGACACTTGCCATATTTCTTGACCTGAAGTCAGCATTCAACTGTGTCGACCCTAAGGTGTTGTGACAGTGTGTGGCTGTGAAGGGAGTATTGAGCAAGTGTGTGATGCTTATCAAAGCCGTCTACTCGAACTCACGCAGCTGTGTTATCTCTAGTGGAGAGTTGTCATGTGAATTTACGACAACTAGTGGTGTTAGGTAGGGATGCCGACTGTCGGCGTTCTTATTTAACTTCGTTATAGGTGTACTAATGAAGATTATTAGCTTAAGTGCACGTAAGTCGATTGGGATCGATCTACTCCGTGTAGGTTATCTGGTTGACCTGAAGTATGTAGACGACATTGTCCTGTTGGTTGAAGATGCTGACAAAATGCAGGGTCTTGTGAACGCGTTGTGCAGAAGTCTGAGAATGTTTGGCATGCGTCTCACACCTGTGGAACGTAAGGTGATGCTTTTGGACTGACTGGTCTACTACAAGTACTCTCAGTGTAATGATAGTGAGTGGATTTGTGGAACACGTCGATCACTTTACTGACTTTTGGAGTTGGTTGGTTGGTTGGTGACGAAATGTCAGCTTGGATACGAAAGATCTGAGTGTCTTCGTAGCATTTTTGTGGGATTTATCGGAGTCACTGTGTGTGAGCACTGTTGAGGTTAAGGGAAGGGTACTAGGCAAGACATGCAAGTTGGTTTCTGATGTTGTGAACCTTATTTGACTTGAGGTGACTTGGACGTGAACTGCACATGTCGACTGACCACCACCTACATAGATGTGTCGTGCTTGGAATCGTTGGATTAGGTTGGAAGAGGGTTCCGGGTGGTCAGAGAAAGACGTGACATCAGTCGATTGAGTCTGTGACTGTTGGTCTAACTTGTGTTGGAAAGATATAGACTACGTGGGTGGGGTCCCCGAGAGGATGGGAATCATTGTTTTAGGTTTCTTGGTGAGATGGCTTAAAATGGATGATAAAGGTGCAGATGTATTCACTCCTTGACGTCTTCTAAAGTTTTAATATTTGTACTAATCTTTATCTTGTGATTGTTTATTCTCTCACACAACTTTGTTAATATTGAAAGCAGTATTTTTCTATCTACGTGTTGTTTGTGTAGTATTGTGAAGTGTGACAGTTTGAGCCTATGGACGTGTGTGCGGTGTTTTACGTTTATTTGTTTATGTGGTGCGTAATTATGGATTTTGGTCGCTAACTGGTTAATTAGACTCAAATAGATGATGTTATCTTACAGTAAGACAATATTGTCTCCTTAGTGACTTTCGAAATGTTCTGTTTTAGTCGACCTACATTATCAGCATGCATGTCCAGAGTGCTCTTAAGAATGTCATCGACGGCAAAGTTGAATAGGAATGGTAGAATCAAGCAGTGTAGCCTAACAGCATTGCTGGTTTTAGACAGTGAAGGTAAAGTTGTTTGCCTTCACTCTATTTATGATGTTGAAGTTCAGGGCTTTCAGGATGTTGCAAAATGTCTCAGGGGCGCTTTCTTCTGATAAACCACTCTATATATTCTTATCTGGGTTGTGTCGATGTTTTCTTAGTCGTTTATTTTCACGTTGAAATAGTTTTGGTACCCTTTTTCATTTACTTTTATTTATCTTCGTTATCACACTGCTTTTTGTATGCACAATGGTATTCAAGCATTTTTTTCCCATTCATTTTTACAATATCCGTGTAATAAATGTTGAAAATAAATGTGTTATGGCTTGCGAAATCAGTACTTTTAATTTGTTTTCTTTGTTTAGGGTGGTGTTGATGATCATGTAATTGCCTTCGAAGTCGTATAGCATTCTTCAGACGGGGGAAATGGTCTATGGATACTATAAATAGATGGATCTTGCACCTTTTAAGTTGAGCTGTCAGCTTGTTCTTTTGGTCTTGGTTACATTTGGTCGCTGTTTGGATTTGCATTCACGCACTCCCTCATGTCTTAATATGGCAGGTATGGTGAATTTATTGTAGATGAACTTTTTAGAACAATCTAAATGGAACCGCTCGTTTCACTTCAAAAACCAAGAGCTTAGTTTGAAATTAGAGGTTTCAAATCGGTCCTCACACTGGATTATTAATTACATATTCGAGATTTTGGCGCGTGAAAGACTTGGATATCAGTATATCGAGTTTGTAAAACGGGATACGGACAATCCGAATCAAGCAATCAGTAGATTAGACTGCAAAGATGCGAAGTGAGTTTAAAGAGAAAGATCAGTTGCTGTCTTAACTATTTAAAATCTGTATTGTTTTGTTTTATTGCACACACCTACATTTTTGTTTGTATTTAAGGATCCATGTCCACATTTAGACTGGTTTAGCGGCCTATCATGGTAGTTACTTGTTAGTCATTCATTGATCAGCGTAGATAATAGTAACGCAACAGATCGATGTATGTCTTGTAATTACGCAAGAAACTAAAAGGGGGATCATAAGACTCGAAGTTTAGTTGCGGTTGCATTTTTTCTTCCCACCAATTAGTCCAACGTACTTCTCCGGTCATATTACTGTACAACTTTGGTTTCCAGCAGATCTTTCTTGTCCTGTACAGGTAAGGAGTATAGTAAGTTGTCACAGTATGTTTCGAAAAATAGTAAGGTTGACAATAGGCAGTGGTTTTGGTACCGTTTGAAAATACCTCTGATACTCGAATGTCTGTCTGCCTGAAAAACTAATTTGTAGATATTGAGTGAGTGATTATATTTGTTTATTCCTAATGGTTGTCGGGAATACAATGGGTAGTTCTTTCAAGGCAGCTACGTTACGTTGCTAACCGCCACATTATAGGTTTGTTTGTATTTTTACGGAGTTTAGACTCTCTTATGTCTTATGTTTGAATGTTTTGACTAACCCTACTTTGTAAATCCCCTCTCCTCCTTTGTCTACTTTGATATCAGTCTTTTTCTATCCACTTGTTCTTTATATTATACCTATTTGAAGTGTGGCAACTCGAACAGATGCACTTATGTGCTGCGAGGTTCTACGTTGATTCTGTTTATCTGTGTCTGTAAAATTAAGCTTGTATGAAAGTGGTGTACAACAATGAATCACTAAGGTGTCATATTGTATACATCTCACTGCAACTATTATGCATGATTACCACAGGTCCTATCTGCTTTTTTCAGATTTGAACGGAATATTATCGGCTCTATTTCATAACTAGTCCAAAAAAGTGATCGGACTTTTTTCGCGAATAGAGTCGTAAGACCGAATACCCGCTTATTTCTGAAAATGTGGGTACGAAACGCGTGCAGAAAAAGTCGCTCTGATGCCCTTGTTTCTTGAATTAATCTCTGTCCTAGTTTTTTAGAAATGTGGTCTGTTATAAATGTTTAATAACTGAAAAAGAAATATTCATTGTTAATTTTGATTATTAAATTATGACAAAAGTTTCACGCTCACCAACAAAGGTCTTATTTAATGTACCCTTTCGGTTCTTGATCTGAAGTTTCGTTTTCTATGCCAATAGAAAGTGGTACAAAGCACTTTCCTTTTAGAACTTGGAACAGTACGTTTGTCAAAGCAAATGTGCGCCACTGTTGACTTCATTGTCATTTACCTAGTAGTACATGTGGTGTATGACTGTTATGATTTGGAAATCATAGGGAAACAGTATGGTCATAGAATTCACCAATTGGTTACCTGTCCGAGGTGGCCACAACTACGGCTAAAGTAGAAGAGAGCGAGAGAGTGATGACAGCCAAAATATCTCTGGGTCACTTTGACGATGTGCAGCAAACTAGGACAACATTATATCCATAGCATTCACTCGAATAGTTCGCAAGGTGATTTATGTAATCTTATTATAAGTAAATCGATTTCTCACTCTGAGATTATAATTAAATATGCAGTTAAGCTTTCAAGCAATAAAATAATTAGTTTCTAGGTTATGGATTTTCTAGGAAATGATTGTATTTCCCCAAAGTAGCTAAAATAATATCGTAGCTGTCGGCGCTCAGCAAAAATATGTAGGATTGTTGTCTAATGCCTAGCATTCTAGCATCGTCCCCCTAAATAAGCAGTTGTCCGTTTTCATTCGGCTTTATATCTTACGGCTGCTGAAAAGATACTGTATTGAGAATAATAGGATCATTAGAAAAATAAGTCTCCCTCCATAATTTTAAGCTTTTCAGCCATGCTGAAAAAAATTCGGCATATCTTTATGTGTTAGTTTCTTAGCTGGTTAGAATGGTTTCAAGTAGCTTAGACATAGTTTAAATGTCAAAGCTTGTAATTTCCCATCCTTGTTTGACCCGAATTGGTTGGTTACTTTCGGTATATGGGCTTCTTGCGGATACCTCGATATTGAATAACACTGGCGTTTGAAGCGGTTGGTCCTGGGTTCGAGTCCTAGTCGGGACAACATCACTCACTGGAAGGCAGGTACACTCAGCTACTGAATCCCAAATAGTACAAAACACGCGTCATGAATCCCATTGCTAGCTACTACACATTCATTTATATCTAGCGTGGACATAGTTTCCATTTGTTTACTGAATGGATTTTCGCTGTCTATGGATAGCGGATAGCTCTTTAGAAATGGAGCCAGTATTATGTTTGTGAGAACTTTTTGGGTTTTTTTTCCAGCTGTTTCACATTTCCGGACGTCCACATAAATCTTGAACTGTGGCTTTCTTTGGGAACTACAACAAACTTTTGGGCGCCGCATAGTAGAGTGACGGATAATGGACCTTTAGGCCCAGTTAACCGGTGGGCAGTTTCATCTGAGGAAGAGTTTGTATCGCAGTTGTCCACAATGACAAAGGTTAGTTCTGTGTATTGCTTTTACCATTACATCGTGCTTTAAATTTTTAGAAACCGTATTCTTAGTTGAATATAGTACGTTCCATATTCACTCGGACAATTCAACATATTACGAAGTTCTTTAGCATTCTTTCCAATGAAGGCTAGTCATGCTGTTGTTAAGATATCTAGTAGTTTTAAATTAATTGTCGTAACTAAAACTACTTTCAGTACTTTTACATGTGTATATATGAAAGCATCAATATTGTGTAGTTACATGACTTCCAGTCTGTACATTGTGCTTTTACAGACCGAGTTTATTTGAGAAGCCAAGAATTCTCTGCCAATTATCAGTAGTTCAAGCAACCTCTTGTTTCAAGTCAGCCAAAAATATATGAGAAGGAAAGTAGTGACTATGAATGAATAAATGAACATTACCTATAGAGAATATGATGGCACTGTTGTGGCTATGATACGGTTGAGACTCTGAGTTATGAGTAAAGTTTTTCATTAGAGTCTTAGCATTATAACTACTTCAGTTTGTCATTAGTATTCTTTACGCGACCACTCCTGTTACTATAAAACTAGTAGTCATCTAATGCTAAGTATTAAGGTTGGTTTTCAGTAACAGTGTGTAAACAGTACTACAAAATAATGTATACAGCTGCTCAATATGACTGAAACAAGCACAAGAAAATCCACTCTTATTAAAATCTTGATTATCACTCTGTACTAGTCACTTTATGTAATAATTGGTTTAATAATGGAAGTGATGGCTCTTAGGCGTAAACATGAAAGTTTAATCACAATGTTCGGAATTCGTCAAGGTCTTTCAAAATATTTTGTAATTGACCACCGTTGCCTTCGTAGTATAGGCTGTATTCCGTGGTGTCACGACGTGGGTAACGCAGAAGTGGGTTCAGACTGGACATAGTCGATAGGCGACCAGACCAAAACATTGCACCAATGTATGAAGTCTTTGACTGTTGGTTTAAGCCATGTGAGGCGATGCAGACTAGGCGATTGGGTTCTTGGGGACAAAAACCACTGGTTGGAGACTCTAGGTGATATGGCTGAGAACCGATGTCAGTTGCGCAGATGTGTACACACATCCGCATCTTAACGACGCTATACCGAATCTCATCATATTCTCATTCTTCCTTTCTCTGTTTTAGCACTTTATATTTCTTTTGACTGAATTTTCTTATCTTCATCTTGCACTTCATTGCCTTTTTACCTGATGTACTGATATGAGTTGTGGCAACTAGGACCGTTAGGCAGTAATGGCTGGTTCTATGTTGATTTGAATGGATGGATGGAAATATTTTGTAAATGGGAATTCGAGTCAGAGAATTGGTAAAAATAAGTCAATCATGATTGTTCCTTAACAAGATTTGGTAGCCGTATATATTTTTTTGAAGTGCAAGTTAAGCGAGTTAAACGAGTCTTTCTTTGTTGTACTATTGGTTCTGTTTCTAACATGAAATTCGTACGTACTCAGAGTTATCTTCCTTATAATTGTTGAGGATGATTTTAAAAATTGCTGTTCACAATTATTTTTCTCTACTATTTAATTCAGATACAAACAGAGTCGAACTGTAACCGTAAAGATGAGCGGAGTGATTCTCATATTTCCTCTTCACAAATCGACATTCGCCCGGAATGTGATCTAGATATGTGCCATCCTTCCAAGTTTCGTAATGGTGAGATTACTCTCTTTTCACTGTTACTTTTCAAACCATATGAAGTAAATTAGTTAGTGCGTTCTGCTATTGCAGTATACATTGGACTTACCTGGTTACAAAGCAATATTTTACCTTTTGTCGGCACTCATTTCTTCGTTCTAGGTTTCCTTTGTCAACATTTTCGCATGTGCTGTAAGTTGTTTAAAAAATTTACGGGTAGAATATATATTTCATATTTAGGGGGAGTGTGTTAGCTCCAAGAAGTCATCTGGGGGGTAAAGTCTAATCAAAATTAAAGTGAACGATTAACCTGAGGGACATAACATCATTTATGAGGATTGCTTTTCAGAAACCTACACACACTAACCTGGATGAAGCATTAGGGTAATCTTACTAGTCAGACACTCGCAAGGTAGTTCTGTTTAGCCCTTGTGCTTGTGACACTACTAGCCTAGGAACGAGTGAGTCCAAAAGCACTGCTAGATCTAACGACCACTACTGGTTGTTCAACATACTTCACTTATTTCGGTTTTTTATTTGAAAGTATTCCTATTCCGTATAAAATGTGTTTGTTATCCATAAAGCAACAAACCTAAGCATATTTCGTAATGTTACTAAACACCAGTACTCCATTAGTAATACCGAGAAATCCAGTCAGCAACATATATATTTCCTTGAAATCACAACGATTGTGATTTCTCACATGTTGAGGACCGTCGTTGTATTTTTTAAATAGTAAACATAATCACTTACACTTGCCAAACAGTAAGCATTTAAAACGTAGCTCAAACCATATTATTAGGTTCCTTGTCATAGCTTTTATCCTTGAGTAATCTGAAAAAATGTTGATGGTTATTTCATGCTGTTACTTTTTGTAGACTTCATTCATTATTTCACTGGATCAAAAGTTTCTTCTAAACAGTCTTCACATTCGGCTGTGCAACGTACTTCATCGTCTGTCATGTCAATCATAAACTGGTATCCACATGGAATTGGTGCATCACCACTTCCTTCCGCACTACATTTCTTTGGCAAAAAACCCCAGTTAAACTCTACTGTACTGCAGTCTGTATTTGATAGGATACTTCATTGTAACCAACTGGATTCAAATTCTGTACCAGACTTACAGGACTCCAAAAAAAAGTCTTTTTGTCGGTTGGAATCGCAACAGGCTACAAAGTTATCATGGGCCAAACTAAAGAATACTGTTCCTCTGATTCATCAGTTAGTTGACCGAATGTACTTTTCCCAGTCAGAGTATGAAGATTTACTTAAATCAGTGAGTACTTTTCTCGCCAAACATCTTGAACATTGAGTTTCTCGCAGTATATTGAGTAATATATTCATGCTAGTAAACTATTCTTACCATATCTTCATTTATTGATTACACTTTCTGACCTAATGTTGTGTGTTGCAGGCAAACAACTTAAATCCAACTTTTGGTCAGAATCTGCAATCTCATTATCGAGATATTGCATGTAAGTGGATCCGTTTGTCTCCAACTCGTTGGTCTTCGTGGACTGAAGGGTGGAATCAAAAGCAAAATCTCACGGTTGCTGGACTTTTTCCTTTCTATGGAAAGTGGGTTGTTTCAAATTTAGATCATGGTAATAAGGACTCATTTTTATTTTTCTTTTATATTTTGTCATTCCCTTGACTTTTCCTCACTCATTATTTATTGTTGATAACCATATCTGTAATAAGCAGGTTTTGCTCAGTGTATTAGGTCGACAGCGTTGGAGAACGTCTACTGGGTCCGCTTGAACATGAGTTGCGCATGCAAAGCTGACGCCTACCTCGCTGAACTATGTTAGCTGACGTCTGATTGGCTTCGAAATTGTGGAGAGCCCAAACCAAGATATGGAACAAGCCTACGATGTATAAAACGATACGACACATCACCAGGAATCCCCAGCGTGTACCTACTACCCTAACGTGGTCGTTAGGATTGCATATCACAATGACCCGACGAGCTACACTTACCAAAGCCCTTGTTTTTTCTACGTCCTACCATACCAGATAGGTGTGTTGGATAGTGAGTGAGTGGTAAGACGAGAAGGAGTTACCGTTACAGTGTAAATTGCCATACTATGATGGGGGTCTTAGGGCAAAGTCGTACTGCTGGCTGGCTGGCTGGCTGGTCTGGTGTGTGACAAGAGTGTGGTGTTTCCCTAGGATTACCATCAGTGTGACACTGATTCTGCTGTCCCAATGAGAAGGAGGTTAGAAAACGCCAGCCCCTAAAACAACACACTCCTCCCTGTCCCACGGCCTTCAGGTGCCGACGGTATGGGTTCTGCCTATCCAACGTTAGAACAAACGAACTGTCAAACACTGTGTGACAGGCCTCCTCAAGCAGATATTCCATGGGGTATGTGGTCAAACAAATGTTCTTCTCTTTCAGATACAATCAGCAGAACAAGCCTTCCACTCTGTGGACAGCCGAGAAGTGTCATTCGCCAGTAGACGAGACTCAATCAAACACAACCTATCTTCCTCAACTCTCTCTTCCTTTGTCTTCACCTCGTGATATTGATATTCAGTCTCTTGCGCCTTACCCAACCTCTCACTCTGGCTGCAGCCATTGTCAACTGTCAGAGCTGTTGAAACGTGATTCCTAGTGTCCTACGACCTTATCATCGATTTTATGCAGTAGTTTGCAGTGTCCGAACTCTATGCCAAGTCGGATAGGAAGCACCGCTGACTAGAAGTGTGGAGTCTTTTGTCATGGATGTGTGCTGCGTCTCAGAGACGTGTTTATAGGACGCGAGTGTGGTTATCAAATTGACATGACCTGACCAGTACGGTGAATCTTGTAAATTCACCTTGGGAGAATCTGGATACCCAATGGCTAGCTGTCGTTGACTTTGTGGTGTGGGCGTAGGATTGGGCTGTGTGTATGTGGGCCAGAATGTGCGGTTGTCGACTGGATACCAGCAAACATCCGTCAATGTGCTGTTTGACCGAATGAATGTTTGATAGTTAATAAGGATCGTGAAACTTGTAGATATCTATTTGTAATCTCCGCATACACATCCACCGACTGGAGTTTGGGTGATGCAAATGATGAATTGTATGGAAAGCTGTCAACGTTGCTACAGAAAGCAAACCATTCGGATGCAGTTACAATGGCAGGTGATTAATGCTCGAATAGGGAAGCTGAGTCAATGGAAAAGACATCTTTAAGGTGTTTACGGAACGCCAAGGCAACGAACCGACAACGGTGATCGTTCTGACGAGGACTAACTTTAAGCATGAGGAGAGGCACTCACTGTTTCAGATGGCGTCCGCTGACTTCGAACCGATGATGGACACAGCTCATACTGCTATGAGTCATCGTTGGGGGATTGTCGCTCTTTCTGGAGTACCAGTTTGAAGTTTTGACCACGCGCTAGTACGAGGTCTTGTATTTCTGTGGCTTACTGGCCACAGGAAACAGGTGGGAGTGAAGCCTATCTGTGCTCGATTTGAAGATGAGGACGCTAAGTAGGCGTTTAGAGAGAAGTTATGTAAGCATTTATCTGAACATGACAGCAATACTCATGCTAATAATAAGTCTGGTGTATGGACAGCGATAAAGACAATTGGTAACCTACAGCCGAAGGTTAGAAAATGTCATTGAATTTCCTGAACGTCATCGGAAGTGATTGATGTGATAAGACTGATTCTAGCTGGCTGTGACGACAGTGAAAAGCGAGAGCAGCTGCAAGGTAGATTGACGAAGAGTCTTCTCGTGGATGGCGAGTAGTGGTGGGTGACGAGAGGGGGAGCGAGAATGATGGAGAAGGTATCAGCGTTGGGTAACAGTCGGTAAGTATTTAGGTTTATCAAGGATACTGGAAGGAAGGAAGGAAGGAAGAGGACGATGGTTAGTGGAAACCATGAGCGAAAAGGATGGGATGCTGATAGTTTCCGGTGGCTGACACTTGCCATATTTCTTGACCTGAAGTCAGCATTCAACTGTGTCGACCCTAAGGTGTTGTGACAGTGTGTGGCTGTGAAGGGAGTATTGAGCAAGTGTGTGATGCTTATCAAAGCCGTCTACTCGAACTCACGCAGCTGTGTTATCTCTAGTGGAGAGTTGTCATGTGAATTTACGACAACTAGTGGTGTTAGGTAGGGATGCCGACTGTCGGCGTTCTTATTTAACTTCGTTATAGGTGTACTAATGAAGATTATTAGCTTAAGTGCACGTAAGTCGATTGGGATCGATCTACTCCGTGTAGGTTATCTGGTTGACCTGAAGTATGTAGACGACATTGTCCTGTTGGTTGAAGATGCTGACAAAATGCAGGGTCTTGTGAACGCGTTGTGCAGAAGTCTGAGAATGTTTGGCATGCGTCTCACACCTGTGGAACGTAAGGTGATGCTTTTGGACTGACTGGTCTACTACAAGTACTCTCAGTGTAATGATAGTGAGTGGATTTGTGGAACACGTCGATCACTTTACTGACTTTTGGAGTTGGTTGGTTGGTTGGTTGGTGACGAAATGTCAGCTTGGATACGAAAGATCTGAGTGTCTTCGTAGCATTTTTGTGGGATTTATCGGAGTCACTGTGTGTGAGCACTGTTGAGGTTAAGGGAAGGGTACTAGGCAAGACATGCAAGTTGGTTTCTGATGTTGTGAACCTTATTTGACTTGAGGTGACTTGGACGTGAACTGCACATGTCGACTGACCACCACCTACATAGATGTGTCGTGCTTGGAATCGTTGGATTAGGTTGGAAGAGGGTTCCGGGTGGTCAGAGAAAGACGTGACATCAGTCGATTGAGTCTGTGACTGTTGGTCTAACTTGTGTTGGAAAGATATAGACTACGTGGGTGGGGTCCCCGAGAGGATGGGAATCATTGTTTTAGGTTTCTTGGTGAGATGGCTTAAAATGGATGATAAAGGTGCAGATGTATTCACTCCTTGACGTCTTCTAAAGTTTTAATATTTGTACTAATCTTTATCTTGTGATTGTTTATTCTCTCACACAACTTTGTTAATATTGAAAGCAGTATTTTTCTATCTACGTGTTTTTTTTGGTGCTGTCAGTTGTGGGAACTGGGGGGATGGATTTGTGTTTTATTTTCTAGGTTATCTTTATGTATTTCTGTGTCCATTATTGCTTGAAATCTGGATTATCTTTTTTAGTTGCTGAACAGGCGATCAACTTCGTTAATAATAACCCGGATTACTTCAGCAATACTGAATACGCCCTCACGTTGGATATTCGGAATCTTACCTGTTCTCAGGATGTTGTACTAAATGATTACTTTGAGTTGCTGACGAAATCAGAGAGCAGAAAGATCATAGGAGTGATTGGTAGGTCAATATACTTGTGTGTTGTATTCATCTGATGATGTTATTGATGAGAGATTAACTTTGAAAGTGCTCCAACTTCGTACTTTTGTCGGCTTCATTTTCTTGTGTAATTCGCTATTTAGCATCTGATTGAGTAGAATTTGGCAACTAACAATGGTACTACTGTAGTGGGCGTTGCTGATAAGAATGGATATAAGTGGTGTATGTTGAGAGGGCGGCAAAAATCATAGGGAATTACCAGCAATGGGTAAGGATTCTGCCCAGAGAAACGCAAGAAACAATGTGGTCATATTAAGAGCAAATCGAGAGAGAAGCGTAAGAGGAAATAAAGAAGATTGTGCCAATGACTGTCTTAGTGGGAGGTGTGAAATATTTCAAGACTACTGCACTACAGTTGGCGTCGCCGCTTCTGGATGTGATAAAGATCCCGTAGTCTGCTGTGTTCGAGGATTGAGATATCAGGGTCTTCCTCAGAGAATTTGAGTTGGTTGCGGAGCTGATGGGTGTCCGGGATAGGCGAAGACCAGCTGGTGTTGGCTGTGAAGTTGACAAAAGTACTCTGACGAGCACTCCCCACGTTGGATGAGGACTCCCAGGCACGGCTGTCGACTGCACAGTTCACCGAAAGTGTCCCAATTGCCATAGTCCAGTGAACGCAGCCCAACCTGTAGATAGTGAGATGACCAACGTGATGAGGCAACCAATGGGTACAACAGTAGCTACGGTGGGGTCACCATAGGTAAAAAAACTGGAGAAAACAAGTTGGTAACCTTTGAGACGAGGCTGCACTTCAAATGAATATCAACAGATGGAGTAAATGCTTTGCATGCAGAAAACTGGGACACTAGCGAAGAAACTGTCTGGAGAGGAGAAAAAGAAAAGGTTTCGAACGATATGAGTTTTGTTTTTCCGACCAAACTAAATGTCGTAGGAGCCTTAGATAGAGGTGCTGTGTATGCTAGAATGCGAATCAACGATCAGGAAATCATGTGTGTCCTCGAGATCGGAAGTGGGAAAATTAGATTCCAATTGATTGTCACCACGCGTCTACAACGGGAAATCCTAGGTGCTGACTTTTGAGAGAAGTGGGTGCAGTTATTAAGACGAGAACAGGAATAGTGGGGACAAAGTACAGGTCGTTTACCACGCAGGAAAACAGCGAGGTAGCAGAGATTTAGGCGAGGCTCAAAAACATCATGAAGTTGGTTAAGAATTACAACATTGTTCACGGGAGATGGAGACCAGACCCTACGGATACTGTGACAAGGTTCAGCATGAAATCCCAGTGACAAATCAAGGAATGACTGCATTTATAACGTGGTGAATACCATGTCACTTAGAAGAAGTCAGGTGCCAGGCTCAGGAAATGCTAAATGAAGGCATTATTGGAGAAAAGAGGGTGATAGCCCATACAGTTCGCCAGTGTTTTCAGTAAGAAAGTTGAATAGGAAATATAGATTCTGCGTTGATTTCTGAGAGTTAAATAGCATAGCGCAGCCGAAGCCCTCCGCCATACCGACGGTAGCCGAAACACTGGGTAGTTTGCAGAATGTAAAAACATTTACAGTTCTAAACCTTCCCTCAGGCTACTGGCGGCTACCAATAAAAGAAAGCGATAGCGAGAAAACAGCATTTATTGTGGGCAAAAGGCAATACTAATTCAAGTGAGTGCCATTTGGTCTTGCAGGTGCACCATTTACATTTAGATGGTTGATAATGTTATTGCTGAAGAATTTAGAGAACGTAGAGGTGTATGGTGACGACCTGGTGGTGTACAGTTAGACGGAAGCAGAACATCTATAACACATGGAAGTTGTTTTAAGACACATTGACGAGTTTGGACTTCGTATCAACAAGACAAAGTTTCAGGTAGCTAAAAAGAGTGTTACATTACTATAACAATAATTTGGAAACGGTGATTAAAACCATTACCTGAGAGAATTCTGACGGTTAAAAGTATTGCTATGCCGAGTTCCAAGAGGAAACTGCAGAGCAGGATTCTACAATTGGTTCCTCAAAAATTTCAATGAGATAGCAGCACCTTTATGCAAGCTACTTGGCAACCCTAAATTAATATGGATAGAGGAGGCATAGAAAACGTTTGGTCACGTCAAGGAACTCCTAAATGACCAAGAGATGACATTACAACTACCAATAGCCGGGAGGCCATTCGTCGTGTCCACCGATGCAAGTGATCATGGAATAGGCGCAGTTCTGAGATAGGCTGAGGGAGTAGTGGAGTATTCCAGCCGTGTTCTGACACCTGAACAGAAATATTCTACAATGAAAAAGGAATGTCTGACGATAGTTCGGGCGCTGGATGGAGATCATATCTCCATGGTCAACGATTCCATATTGAAACTGTTCATAAACCTCTACAATAGCTAAAGACAGCTATAGACCTTAGAAGAAAATTATCACGTTATAATGTTACGACTACGCGATAGCTCTAAACATAAGTTATGTTGAATATAAAAAAATGAAAATTTACTTAATACAATGAGGTTTTGGTTTCTGGTTACCTGATGTCTAGATTTATTTTGTTAATTTTACGCTTTTATGACTACTTCACTATTATAAGACTATACATATTTTCCGTTTTGCATTCTCTAGCTGCCCTGTGTTCCGATTCAATAGAACCAGTTGTTGAGGTAGCTAATATGCGTCATCAGATTGTTGTTAGCCCTACTGTTGAATCAGTTCGTTTTGCAAAACGTCGTCGCTATCCGTATTTCTTTCGTACTGTTCCTTCGATGACACATGTAAGGTACGTGGTTGCACTAAGTGCTATTCAGTACGTCTATTCACGTGTTTTTAAATTCAGACATGTTGGTTCTCTCTATGTGGGATATTTAACGCTTCTTAGTTTTCCTGTTTGGTAAAAAGATGCTCTTGGTACAGTAACATAAAGAATAACAATGATATGTTAATTTCTTGTAATTTAGAGGAAATTTACTGTTCATTGCATAAGGTGCATTTTGTCTGTTGTCGCAGCGCAGTGTATTAGAACATATAACAATATGTTCGTTATTTTTGAAATATACTACACTGGGATTGTACAGTTAAAGTACACCATATGCAATAAGCCACAATAACTCAGTACCCAAGTTTTTTTTCAAAAAGTCCAGTTCACCCCTGGTCACAATGTTATTGTTCCTTGTCTAAACAGAAAACTTTAATCTGTACTCGGAATTTCCAACTAATATGGTTATTATTTTCATGTTTGTAACCAACCCCTGAAAAATTACTTCATCCAATAGGAAATAAATAAATATACCAATATTCTGAATGAATGTGATGGGAACAACTAAAGACAATGTACCTGTATCAAACAGTTCGACTGCATGCGTACCATTCATCGATTGACGTTCGGTAAGAGGTCACTGGAAAAGTTGAATAAATGCTGAAATATTCAACATGCGCTTTTTGTGACGAAAATACCATGCTTTTTTTGCAAAGCTGTGATAGCCCTGTGGAATATTGGACTAAGTTGACCAGCCTCATGATGTAGGATATACTACCACATTCATGTGGCATCAATTTTCAGCAGTATATCAGCTACATTGTGGCGGGGATAGCGCAAGTATCAAGAGTTCTCTATTTTGTATGACAGCTCAGTTCGCATCCTCAGAATACTGGGTGGTAGTGAGAGCATCAGAAGTCGATTGAACCAGAAACAGTAGGGAATGAAGTCAGTCCGGCTTGTGAAACCCTTCAGCAGAACGAGAATAAATTAAGTGCTCTTACGAACTTTCAAAAACCGTCAGAAATGCTTTTCTAGCCAATTTGTTAACATACATAGCTGTAAGAAAAGAAGGACAGTGGTCTGGTGAAAGAAAAAATGCATAAATACAATAAAGGGCTTTTACAAATAAGCGTGCGTAATACAAAACAAAGACTGATGTTTACTCGTCTGCTCCAAGTTCGTCTACCCAGTCGAAAAAATGGCATTCATATGCTTGGTATCTAAAGTAGAAAATGGAGCAAACATGTGTCATTTAATGAGCAACATGGTTTTCATTCCATTACATCTACAAAAATTGTGTATGGTTGTGCACATATTTATGTAGTGTGCATCCATTATACGGCATTAACTATACTTTTTGGAAGGACTTCATTTGGTATGAAATCGCCCTACAAAAACCATTGTTTTTACAAAATGCATAACCTGTGTAGTTTTCATTTTTACATTAGGATTCAAAAAGGAATCATATTTATGACCTTTGTTGATATTTCGCCATTAGCGAAATCAGAGGCCTCTCATCAACCAATTGCGCACCCTTTAACTGGTTTATCGACTATACCCTAATGGAACATAGGGCTTCAGTAGCATGTCTCCATTTCACTGTACTCTCTGCAGTCTTTCGAACCTCACTTGAAGACTCGACTTCGCTGCCCGCCACTTCTGTCAACTTGTTGGTTTTCACCTGTAGATCTTCGAGTCAGACATAAGTCATCATCGGCGAAATTTGAATCTTCAAGGCTCTTTTCACCGGTGCAGCCAGTGTATGCACATCTTCTCGCTCTTCACGGTTTGCTGCATGATCCAGTCCAGTCCAATCCAGTCGACCACGATCAGGAAGATGATGGGTGATAGTAGGCTGCAACCTTGTCTTACTCCTGTCTTCATTTCAAAGGCATCACTGAGCTTTTCATTGTGAATCACTCGCATGTTGCACCACATAGCATACGATATAGCTGCTGTTAAATGAGGTTGATAAAGGTTTGTGGCAGTAAAACCGTAGTGTTGAAGCAGCTGCCTGCCAAATTACTTGTCGGTCGACGCTGTTGAAGGCCTTTTGAAAATCGATGAAGTTGAGGTGGAGTTGAGTTGACTGGGATTCTGTTTTCTGTTCTATGATGATGCGTAGCGTAGCGTTGCAATATGATCCACACATGATTTTTTCTTCCTGAATCCAGCCAACCAGCCAGCCATCCAGTTTCGGTCTTAATTGTGAATCCATCTCATTGTTTAGTCTCTCCATGATGATGCGGCTTAATATTTTGCTTGCTTGATGTGGACAGAGACAACAGCATGACTCTGCACCAGTTCTTGCAAAGATTTAGCTTTTGGTTTTTGGGAGTTTAACAAGATAGCCCTTCTCTCTTCCTGGAGTAGTGGTATGAGCATGTCTGCTCATGTTTCTGTATCTGTTTTCAGTGTTTCCAGCTTCATAACACGGTTATGCAGGTTTCCTTCCACATCTCTTTCAGAGTGTTCCAGTGTTCTTCCACGCCCGATCCTTCAGGGATGTTGCCCAATGTCTCCCATTTTGTCCTGATTACTGGCTGATGTGAAGATGTCTTTTGTAGTTCCATCCTTCAGTTCAGTTTCTGTTCTGTGTGTTGAACTTCAACTGTGGTCTATCACCGGCTTCTGTGAAGGCTTTCAACTTGATTTTGAAGGTTCTTTGCACTATGTAGTGGTGTGAGTGGTGTGAACCTACATCTGCTCCCCCTCTTGATGTGATCCTGTGTCCAGTAGGCTGCGTCTCCACTCTCTTCACATTGAGATGAAGTCGATCTGATTTATAGTGTAGTGTGTCCTGGTGTCTGGTGAAATCCATGTTGCTGCCTTGTGAATATCCTTGTGTGTTTGTACACAGTGTCTCCAATCACCGAATCATTGAATGCGGAGAAATCCGCAAACTGTTCTCCATTCTCATTCTTCATTTCACCGAGTGCTTCTCCACCCATGGTTGGTTCTCTTCTTGTGTTGTCTGCTCCGAGTTTGGGATTCATGTCGCCCATTGGAATTTTGATGTTGCCAACTGTAATCTTGTACAGTGTTGGTTGCAGTTGTCTGTAGAATTCCTACTTCTTTTCTTGATCTGCATTGTTTGTTGACGCGTAGCATAGCATTGTATACTTGTGACGATATTGGAGTAGATTGTTGACTCTCCAGTTGACAGTTTGGAGAGTCTACTTCCATTCCATCTGCTTTTGCAGATTCCTAGCACTTCTATGCCATACCTTCTCATCTATTTTGCAATCTGGGCAGCCTTGCCAGTCGACTTCAAACTTTGTGCGGACATTCTTCATCCCTATGCTTACTTTTGCTTTTATCGAGGGAGAGAAGACACATCGGCCAACTGACTTCCGAAGGCTTTCACCAACCGGCGTCGTTTCGTCTCTCCGATTCCAGTGAGGAATAAGTTTATTTTTATTTCTTATATTTTGTTTGTGCTTTGAAGTTTCTTTAGCGGTTGGATTGGTTTTAGTGGGTAGTGTTGTTAGCCCTGTGCCCAACCTCTCCTCTTTATCTGGGCTTAGGACTGGCTAGTAACTAGTGAACTAGTTTACCAGGCAACATTATATACGCTTAAATGAAATTAATAACGAAATGGTTTAGAAAGATAGATTATACTAAACAGTACTTATTACGAATGCTATCTTTCAAAAATGGTGATTTTTATTTGATCACCCATTCACTTAGTCAGTCAGCATTAAAATATATCACTCAATGTACAACAATTGTTAGTTATACTCACGGAATGAGACTCACTAATTTTCGTTTTTTTCCAGCCTAATTTTAATCAGACTGTTCAGTAGTTGGGGTTGGCGTCGCGTTGCTGTGTTTCGAGAAGATGATCATTTTTTGATCCTTTAGTTTTCCAGTCAAATGGCATAGAGCTTATTGCTGACTTTGTAATGAAAGAGAATCAACTTACGTATGTCACCGTGTATCAGGTACGCCATTACTATTGCTCCTTTGAATTAAAGTCGTTGCACATTTTAATGTTTTTAAATTTCTATCCTCAATAGGCTGATATCCGTCTGTAGAAGTTAATCAATTAGAGTTGACGATATGATGGTTTTCCTGCATATATCGTTGTGTATTCGGCACGAGGTGTTTTTCCTTTAAAATTAGTTAATGACATCGTCCGAAAAATTGTGATCTAAACAATAAACTGAAGAAAGAATTTGAGAAGCACTAACTGGTTGCACCACACTGGTTAAAATTTCGTATTTGAATAGTTCCTTAACGATCCAGCAGTGAATTCGACCGGCTGTCTACTGAAAATCACTGAAGCGAAATGGCTGTTTTTCGTATTATTCGAGTGTCACGCGGTGATAAAGAAATAGACCACTAAGCGACGGCCCGACTGATACCTCCTACAATGACGTGGTCGTTAGGATTGCATATCACAATGACCCGACGAGCTACACTTACCAAAGCCCTTGTTTTTTCTACGTCCTACCATACCAGATAGGTGTGTTGGATAGTGAGTGAGTGGTAAGACGAGAAGGAGTTACCGTTACAGTGTAAATTGCCATACTATGATGGGGGTCTTAGGGCAAAGTCGTACTGCTGGCTGGCTGGCTGGCTGGTCTGGTGTGTGACAAGAGTGTGATGTTTCCCTAGGATTACCATCAGTGTGACACTGATTCTGCTGTCCCAATGAGAAGGAGGTTAGAAAACGCCAGCCCCTAAAACAACACACTCCTCCCTGTCCCACGGCCTTCAGGTGCCGACGGTATGGGTTCTGCCTATCCAACGTTAGAACAAACGAACTGTCAAACACTGTGTGACAGGCCTCCTCAAGCAGATATTCCATGGGGTATGTGGTCAAACAAATGTTCTTCTCTTTCAGATACAATCAGCAGAACAAGCCTTCCACTCTGTGGACAGCCGAGAAGTGTCATTCGCCAGTAGACGAGACTCAATCAAACACAACCTATCTTCCTCAACTCTCTCTTCCTTTGTCTTCACCTCGTGATATTGATATTCAGTCTCTTGCGCCTTACCCAACCTCTCACTCTGGCTGCAGCCATTGTCAACTGTCAGAGCTGTTGAAACGTGATTCCTAGTGTCCTACGACCTTATCATCGATTTTATGCAGTAGTTTGCAGTGTCCGAACTCTATGCCAAGTCGGATAGGAAGCACCGCTGACTAGAAGTGTGGAGTCTTTTGTCATGGATGTGTGCTGCGTCTCAGAGACGTGTTTATAGGACGCGAGTGTGGTTATCAAATTGACATGACCTGACCAGTACGGTGAATCTTGTAAATTCACCTTGGGAGAATCTGGATACCCAATGGCTAGCTGTCGTTGACTTTGTGGTGTGGGCGTAGGATTGGGCTGTGTGTATGTGGGCCAGAATGTGCGGTTGTCGACTGGATACCAGCAAACATCCGTCAATGTGCTGTTTGACCGAATGAATGTTTGATAGTTAATAAGGATCGTGAAACTTGTAGATATCTATTTGTAATCTCCGCATACACATCCACCGACTGGAGTTTGGGTGATGCAAATGATGAATTGTATGGAAAGCTGTCAACGTTGCTACAGAAAGCAAACCATTCGGATGCAGTTACAATGGCAGGTGATTAATGCTCGAATAGGGAAGCTGAGTCAATGGAAAAGACATCTTTAAGGTGTTTACGGAACGCCAAGGCAACGAACCGACAACGGTGATCGTTCTGACGAGGACTAACTTTAAGCATGAGGAGAGGCACTCACTGTTTCAGATGGCGTCCGCTGACTTCGAACCGATGATGGACACAGCTCATACTGCTATGAGTCATCGTTGGGGGATTGTCGCTCTTTCTGGAGTACCAGTTTGAAGTTTTGACCACGCGCTAGTACGAGGTCTTGTATTTCTGTGGCTTACTGGCCACAGGAAACAGGTGGGAGTGAAGCCTATCTGTGCTCGATTTGAAGATGAGGACGCTAAGTAGGCGTTTAGAGAGAAGTTATGTAAGCATTTATCTGAACATGACAGCAATACTCATGCTAATAATAAGTCTGGTGTATGGACAGCGATAAAGACAATTGGTAACCTACAGCCGAAGGTTAGAAAATGTCATTGAATTTCCTGAACGTCATCGGAAGTGATTGATGTGATAAGACTGATTCTAGCTGGCTGTGACGACAGTGAAAAGCGAGAGCAGCTGCAAGGTAGATTGACGAAGAGTCTTCTCGTGGATGGCGAGTAGTGGTGGGTGACGAGAGGGGGAGCGAGAATGATGGAGAAGGTATCAGCGTTGGGTAACAGTCGGTAAGTATTTAGGTTTATCAAGGATACTGGAAGGAAGGAAGGAAGGAAGAGGACGATGGTTAGTGGAAACCATGAGCGAAAAGGATGGGACGCTGATAGTTTCAGGTGGCTGACACTTGCCATATTTCTTGACCTGAAGTCAGCATTCAACTGTGTCGACCCTAAGGTGTTGTGACAGTGTGTGGCTGTGAAGGGAGTATTGAGCAAGTGTGTGATGCTTATCAAAGCCGTCTACTCGAACTCACGCAGCTGTGTTATCTCTAGTGGAGAGTTGTCATGTGAATTTACGACAACTAGTGGTGTTAGGTAGGGATGCCGACTGTCGGCGTTCTTATTTAACTTCGTTATAGGCGTACTAATGAAGATTATTAGCTTAAGTGCACGTAAGTCGATTGGGATCGATCTACTCCGTGTAGGTTATCTGGTTGACCTGAAGTATGTAGACGACATTGTCCTGTTGGTTGAAGATGCTGACAAAATGCAGGGTCTTGTGAACGCGTTGTGCAGAAGTCTGAGAATGTTTGGCATGCGTCTCACACCTGTGGAACGTAAGGTGATGCTTTTGGACTGACTGGTCTACTACAAGTACTCTCAGTGTAATGATAGTGAGTGGATTTGTGGAACACGTCGATCACTTTACCGACTTTGGTAGTTGGTTGGTTGGTTGGTTGGTGACGAAATGTCAGCTTGGATACGAAAGATCTGAGTGTCTTCGTAGCATTTTTGTGGGATTTATCGGAGTCACCAACCTCGCCTGGTTAACTAGTTTACTAGTTACTAGCCGTTCCTAAGCCCGGGTAAGGAGGGAAGGTTGGGCATAGGGCTAGCAACCCTACCCCGTAAAACAAATCTAACCGCTAAAGAAACTTCAATGCACAAACAAAATATAAAAAATGAAAACAAACTTATTCCCCGCTGGAATCGGAGAGGCGAAATGACGCCAGTTGGTGAAAGCCTTCGGAAAGCCAATTGGCCGATGTGTCTTCTCTCGATGAAAGCGAAAGTAAACGTGGGGACATGGAATGTCCGCACGATGTTTGAACCCAGTAAGGCAGCCCAGATTGCAAGGGAGATGAGAAGGTATCACATCGAAGTGCTTGGGATTTGCGAAAGCAGATGGAATGGGAGTGGACTCTCCAAACTGTCAACTGGAGAATCAATAATCTACTCCGGTCACCCAGACGCCAACCACGAGCACACTGAGGGAGTGGCTATCATGATGTCCTCAAGAGCATCGAAGGCTCTCATGCAGTGGGAACCAATCTCCTCCAGGATCATGACAGCAAGATTCAACTCAAAAGGAAGAAAGGTCACAATCATACAATGTTATGCACCTACAAATAATGCAGAGCAAGAGAAAAAGGAGGAATTCTACAGACAACTGCAATCAACACTGGACAAGACGTCAGTTGGCGATATCAAAATTCTGATGGGCGACATGAATGCCAAACTGGGAGGGGACAACACAGGAAGAGAACTAACCATGGGTCGAGAGGCACTAGGTGAAATGAATGAGAATGGAGAATTGTTTGCAGAATTCTGTGCATTCAACGATTTGGTGATTGGAGACAGTGTGTTCAGGCACAAAGATATCCACAAAGCGACATGGATTTCACCAGATGGACACACTAAAAATCAAATCGACTTTATCTCAATCTCAAGAAAATGGAGACGCAGTCTACTTAACACAAGGTCAAGAAGAGGAGCAGATGTAGGTTCAGACCACTACCTAGTGCAAGGAACCTTCCAAATCAAGTTAAAAGCCTTCAAGGAAGCTGGTGATAGACCTCAGTTCAGGTACAACACTCGGAAACTGAAGGATGAAACTACAAAGGAGATCTTCAAGGCAGCCATCAAGACAAAATGGGAGACATCGAGCAACATCCCTGAAGAAACCTGTGTGGAAGAACACTGGAAGTCTTTGAAAGCTATGTGGAAAGAAACCTGCACAACAGTATTAGGAAGGAAGAAGAAAGAAGACAAAGAGTGGAATGGATCTCGACGGATACCTGGAAGCTGATAGAGCAGGGAGAGGAGGATGGTGAAGCAGAAGATAAACCAGTGCAAGGATGCTCAACGACAAGAGGAACTGAGCACAATGTATAAAACACTGGACAAAGAAGTGAAGAAGAGTGCACGGAGAGATAAAAGACACTTCTACGAAACACTGGCAAGTGAAGCAGAACAGGCTGCAGGTAAGAGAGACCTGACGACATTGTATCAAATAACCAGGTTGCTATCAGGGAAGAGACCAACACAGATGAAACCAATAAAAGATGAAGAAGGAAATTTAATTACAAAAGAAGAGAAACAGAGGAAACGATGGGCCGACCACTTCAAGAAGCTCTTGAATCGACCACCACCTGCACTTCGTCCAGAAATACCACCTGCAGCCGCTGAACTACAAGTGAACATTAATCCCCCAACGAAAATGGAAGTCCTGAACGCCATAAAGCTACTGAAATGCGGGAAAGCAGCAGGACCAGATGGAATACCGCCAGAAGCACTGAAAACAGATGCAGAGACAACAGCGGCCATGCTCACACCACTATTGCAGAAGGTGTGGAAGGAAGAGAAGGTACCTGACGATTGGAAGAAGGGTTACCTTGTCAAACTGCCGAAGAAGGGAGACCTCAGTGCTTGCAAGAACTGGCGCGGAATCACTCTCCTGTCCACCCGAAGCAAAATATTAAGCCGCATCATCCTGGAGAGGCTAAGGGATGCACTGGATTCAAAACTACGACCGGAACAGGCAGGCTTCAGGAAGTACAAATCATGTGCAGACCAAATTGCAACGCTTCGCATCATCATAGAACAGAGCATAGAATGGCAATCACCTCTCCACCTCAACTTCATCGACTTTGAGAAGGCCTTTGACAGCGTCGACCGAGAAGTAATTTGGAAACTGCTTCAATACTACGGAGTACCGCAAACCTTTATCCGCCTCATTCAACAACTATATGAAGATGCCACATGCCAAGTAATCCACAATGGGAAGCTCAGTGATGCCTTTGAAGTGAAGACAGGAGTGAAACAAGGTTGCCTACTATCCCCCATGATATTCTTGATTGTGGTGGACTGGATCATGCAGCAAACAGTAGGCAGCGAGAAGAGGGGGATACACTGGACGACGGAAAAGAACCTAGAAGACTTGGATTTCGCCGATGACTTATGCCTAATGTCACATAAACTTGAAGATCTGCAGGCAAAAACTAACAAGTTGATAGAAGAGGCAGCGAAGACGGGACTTCAGGTGAATATAGAGAAGACAGAAGTGATGAAGATACCGCACCACCACCATCAACAACAACAACAACAAACTCCAATCACCATCAACGGGAGAAACTTAAAGGAAGTAACCTCCTTCACTTATCTAGGAAGCACTGTTTCAACTACAGGCGGGACGGACGAGGACGTCAAAGTCAGAATCGGAAAAGCAAGACAGGCGTTCATTAGCCTGAAACCAGTGTGGAGATCTTCTGCACTCAGCATGCGGAACAAGATACGGATTTTCAACACCAACGTCAAGTCAGTGCTCTTGTATGGCTCAGAGACTTGGCGCGTCACGAAAGGTATTTCCAATAAACTACAGACATTCATCAACAACTGCTTACGCTCGCTGCTGAAGATCAGATGGCCAGAAAAAATAAGCAACAAGGAACTCTGGGAACGAACCAACCAAGAACCTATCACGCAACAAATATGCAGGAAGAAGTGGAGATGGATTGGCCATGCACTGAGAAGGCCGACTGAGGACATCACGCGTCAGGCCCTCGAGAGGAATCCCCATGGGAAGCGACGAGTTGGACGTCCGAGGGTGACATGGAGGAGGTCGTGCGAGCAGGAAATGAGAGGTTGTGGGCTGTCGTGGGACCAGGTTCAAAAGATCTCAGAGAACAGAGGTCACTGGAGGCGTGCTACTGAAGCCCTATGTTCCACTAGGAACCCAAGGGACTAATAATAATATAATATAATAATCGGAGTCACTGTGTGTGAGCACTGTTGAGGTTAAGGGAAGGGTACTAGGCAAGACATGCAAGTTGGTTTCTGATGTTGTGAACCTTATTTGACTTGAGGTGACTTGGACGTGAACTGCACATGTCGACTGACCACCACCTACATAGATGTGTCGTGCTTGGAATCGTTGGATTAGGTTGGAAGAGGGTTCCGGGTGGTCAGAGAAAGACGTGACATCAGTCGATTGAGTCTGTGACTGTTGGTCTAACTTGTGTTGGAAAGATATAGACTACGTGGGTGGGGTCCCCGAGAGGATGGGAATCATTGTTTTAGGTTTCTTGGTGAGATGGCTTAAAATGGATGATAAAGGTGCAGATGTATTCACTCCTTGACGTCTTCTAAAGTTTTAATATTTGTACTAATCTTTATCTTGTGATTGTTTATTCTCTCACACAACTTTGTTAATATTGAAAGCAGTATTTTTCTATCTACGTGTTGTTTGTGTAGTATTGTGAAGTGTGACAGTTTGAGCCACTGGAAATATGTTCTGCTTTGTCTGTTCTTGTAGTGTCTTCGTTCTTAATGGAGTTTTATTTTGAATGGTGGTTCTCTTAGAGGTAAGCTTCAATGAAAATGAGGCGTTGTGAGGAGGTTTTGTTTTTGAATTATGGTCAAATCTACTGTTGAAAGGAGCACGATTTCTGTCGATTGGTGGATTCGTTGGAATGGTACTGTGTGCTGAATGACATTTCGGTTCATGATTCGGAGATAGTTGTTGATGTTTGGAAATTTCGATGAGCTGTGGAAGTGATTTACGAATGTTTGATTTAGTGAATTATTATAATGTGAGACTCTCAAGGTTATTTTTATCAGATCAAAGTCTGAAGTGGATGTTTGTACCTGCATCGTTGAGACTCTGAATTTTAATTCGAAAAAACTAGCACCTCACACTTAGGGTTCTGATATGCCTGCCAAAACTTTCATGTCAACATAAATGCTCATTCGCCAATACAAATTTGTTGTAACTGATCGACCATTGTCTCCGAGTAAATTTTGATCGTCCATGGAATTTCGAAATGATATTAACAGAACGACGTTTGTTATTCTTTAAGGTATTTTTTTCAGTGATATGTGAATAAAATTGAATGAAACCTGTTCATATTCATTCTTATTGTACACAATGCATTTAGAGATTATTCTGAAAGCGATTTCTTCTATGTTATTTTTAGGGTTTGAAACTCATGAATGATCGTAGAAGCCGCATTTTTATGGTTGAGTATTTCGCTAAAGGCACTGCTATCATACTATGTGCTGCATATCATTTAGGAATGCATTTCGATGCGGGTTATGTCTGGTTCCTCAACCCTTGGCTTTCAGGTAACTGGTGGCAGACTGCTGATGTTCATCCTCCAGAATGCAGTCGTGAAGAAATGCTTAATATAACGGCGTGGACTTTTACAGTTGGTCATCAACTTGCCATGGAACCACTAGTTCACAAGTTTATGCCCACTTCATTCAAAGATGTGAATCTTTTCGCTTCCGAATATTCTTTTCGTAAACAAAGTGTCGAACGACGCGTTCGTCAGCATCCAAATGAGTATGTTCAAGATATACGACTTCGAAAATTCAAGCATCCTTTATTTAATGGGCACTCTTCAAATAGTTATGATGATTCACCTTCAGACTCCGAGTCACAACACTCAGTTTTTAGTACAAAGAGTGAAGATGTTGGTTATGTTCACTCTTCTCATGATTATGCGATCCATACTTATGAATCTGTCATAGTGCTAGCCGCTGCACTTATTCACTTATTACATCAAAATCCAAGTTCCATTTCATTCTTTGAATCACGGTTAGTTGCTGAAACGTATAGAGAATTAGTTTCCGAAACAGATTTCAGGTATACTATTTCTTCAAGATTCTCTAGGATGACTCATTTTCCAATCCAATTATTTCTCTGGACACCGGTTTCCATTACGTTCATCGAAAAGATGATGTCAAATCTGCTTCTCAGTTGAGGTTTAACAATCTAAACGAGCGTATTGCTGATTACTGGCTTCTTAAACAGCATCAAGTCAATGTTACTGTCCCAATAGTATTGTGGACATTAGATCAAGAATTGCTAAGTGATGATAATGCTGCATTCATGGTATCCTTGATGGATGCAGCTGATTTAACTACACTAGCAGTTTCTGAACATTTTGCCCAACTTATGGGAGAACGTTGGATCAACGATGTGTATTGGGGGAGTAACAATGGTCCACCTGATGATGGATCAGAAAATGAAGATGATTGTGCCTTTGGGTTTATCGGCAAGATTTTCGGCGTCAATTGTACTGGTTCTACTGTGATTGGTACGATTTCGATAGTCATTTCTGTAACAGTATTATGTTTCATCTTGTTTGTTGTATACTATCGACACAAGCTCAAACAAACACATCTTCGAATTCGTCAACCATATGAAAATCTTTGCAATGAATTAAAGGATATAGATGTAGGTACTTAGTACTGTTTGGTTGTTTTAACTCTCACAATCACTCCTGGTGTCCACTTACATTGATTTGATGTATATTCGAAAAGACTAAATATAGTTTCTTTAATTTCATTCATTACGATGTAAGTACCATTGGTGGTTTTGAGGTCATTGTACACAATAGTGTGTAGTATCATTTAAAGTCCTATGCTGATTACAAATGTTGGTATCTGGGTTGTAGTCTGTTCACTTTGATAAGTTGCAAATCTATCATCATTATGTGGGGTTCCCACTTTCTAGGTACGAGAAAAAAACGATGTATTACAGTTGAAAAAATCTTAGCATAAATTAGAAGATACGTGTACAGGTAAACTCAATTACCACTATATATTCTTCACTGTTTTTTACCATACGCTTGTCTTTTCCATCTGCGAAGAAAAAAAGTAAGACTAGTATGTTCAAAAGTTGTAAATAATCATACAGAGAACGTTATAAGAAATAAGGGGAATAGACATATGTTATTACCTTTCAGTTGAAGATAGAGGATTAATACATCACTACCACTACAATCGATCGTGAGCCATATTACGTACAGTTTCCACATATCTCTTCTGGTTTTCTCGTAGGTCTCAGCTTGGTTTTCTGCTTTGTTTACAGATGGCTCAGATTATCAGTCAGACTTAGAAATTGATGTCACAGTCTAATCTGGCTACTGTTAGATTTCAACCCTAGTCCTACTCCAGCGTGATATATTGCCACATCATATTGAAATAGAAGTTTAAATTCTCATTGACTGACTTATGTGTTTCACTTATGACCCAGCGTTAGTCTCTAGGCGACCTCACTATGAACTGGGGATGCTACATTAGTAGTTGAACACTTGAATTATTCTCAAATCCTCAACCTTTGATATCTGTGCTTCACAACATGATAGGGCGAATTACTAAGTAGTACACTCGACCCTTAATTTGTAGTCGGATATCTCATCGAAACATCTATATTCAAAACAAACAAAAATTGTGGTAATCTATTTATTGTTCTAAGAATGATCCTTTTGGTTCGTTTTGAATTTAATAATATGGCCTTACGAATTCGATATCTTTTCACTTCCCAAGTAAGTACTTCTCTCTTTGTCCACTCTTATCTGTACTGTTGAATTCCTAATCATATCTTGGGGATACGAATTTACGATTGTTTCTTGCTAAGTTAATTGATGCTTTCAATCATCTAAAATCACACTGGTAAACTTCCGTGCTGGCATCTACATTAGTTTGTCTCTCTGGTAGCGGCAATAACCTTTCAACTAATGATTCATTAGTTTAAAAATTTGACTTTCAAGCAGTGGGTCACGGGCTGTACTCTCACTTTGCATACCTCCACCTGGGCAACCAATCAATAAGCCTAGCCTAGTTTTTCTTAAGCAGTAATCTTTCGCTGTAAATAAGCGAATAGCAAGTTTTATCTCATATCTTTGTAACCACTAAGTTCGTACTGCATCCAGACGGCCAAATTGTTTTTCAAAAAACTGAACACTGCAACAATTATGGTGAATAAGCTTCGAAACCATCCCTGCTGTAGTCTGACAGATATTATTAATACAGAACTTGACTAACCGAGTATCTATCAGAGTCGTTTCACTTCATATCAGTATATCAAATTAAAATTTAAGAAGATAGCACTTAAAGTGATATATTCAGTAGTCTTTAAAATTTAGGATGCAGAGAGAAAAGAAGTATAGGGAATGACAGATTAAAACAAAGTAATTTAAACCTTGCTCCAAAGTGCATCGATTTAAGTTACCATATTTCGCAGTAACAACAATATATGCAATAAAGCTGGCAAACTTATAGACCTTCTGGTTTTAAAAAGTGAACACATTGCCAATGAGAGGTACGGTTTTGATAACTATCACTAAAGGTTTCTAAATATTCCAAACACCCTGAAGAACCGCACCAAGACTGCTTACATGGTCCGGAGACTTCATGAAGTGTTACCATTTCTTATTTTAAATACTTTTAATTTTCAGCCTTATCCTACTGCCATCAGCATTTGTATCGACGAAGATGCATACCAGGTCTGCCAACTACCTTGGTTATTGAAGGTTCATCGACTTATCTCATGTACGTGAAAATTTACGTTGAACCTCAACAATACTTACCTGACAGTTTTACTAATACGAACAATACTTCAATTATATCTAGTTGAAAGCTCATGAACTACTTATCTCCGTCACTTTCAGCTGCTATGTTCCATCTATACAATAAGACAGAGCGAACTGTCATGCAGTGCATATGTCCCTTAACAGGGATTTAAAGATCTTATCGGCACTACAAGTTAGCAAAAGATTATTGAACATTTTATACTCCTGGTGAGTTTTCGTTCGGTATTAATCTGCTGGTGTTTTCGACAGAGGATACCAAATCGTCTTCGTACACTATTTCAACTCAAGAATTTCCTGTGAGTGGTTCAGTCCTTGTAAAGTTAAATAAGGAAAATATGATTCATATGACCTTTGTTAGAACAAGTCTAATGGGTTCTATCTTTGGGATTGATATTTTTCGATGTAGACGACCATTGTAGACTTAAACTTTCCATTAGGTGGTTTAAATGTCAGACATCATTTTTATTGAGATATTTTTCCAAGAGACTTTTGTCGATGCTTTCAAATTCCACCCTCAGATCAAAAATATAGTTAAGATTCCGTTCAAGTGAGTGTTCTGGGATCCTAAAGGCGCATAGAAGATCTAGTCAGCATACGTATAAACAGGTCTAAAATCTATCTAGTCTGCTTGAGCTGATACATTTACATATAAATTCTTATTTTATTTTCCGTCTGCTACATGAACTTTTGTTTTGAATTTCCTAAATGTTGTTGTAATGACTACAGTTTATTTCCTGCATAGTTAAGTTAGAAAGTTCCCTTCGTTACAACTAATCAGCAATCTACTATTCTTATGTTAAACTGCCGTAAATAAAAGATTCACAGTAAAATTAAGAGTCATTTTCGGTTAACTATTGAACGATAAATGACTACGTTTATTACTGTTAGTGTTTACCTATTGACTGATGTAATAGTTTATTTATTCACTCAAGTTGTTTTCATAAAACTGTAGATCGCTTTGCTTGAGTATATACTCCTATAACTACTCTGTTAAGTGAGTTAGGTGGTTTGTTTATCTTTATTTAAATGGTCGACAGATGAATATTTCAACAATGTGTGGTATACAGTAAGATGGTATATTTCGTGATGCAGTGAACCTCTGGTCAAAAAATGCATTCATCACGTCACTAGTCACAAGTCAATACAGTAAGGATAAAGAAAGTGTCACTGAAGTATTTTTACCCTGATTAGTTAGTATTATCTAAGTTAACTGTTACGTACTATGAAGCTAAATTGCTACCATCATCACACCTAATTTTTTTGTGGACCATATGGCTTTCAACCTGTTTCTTTTCCTAGAGCACTCTCATTCTTCACGAGGACAGTTTTCTGCGTTTTTTTAGCTTGTGTAGAAGGAGACTTAAGTGGTGTACACAATTTTTTGATGTCACAAGAATTGGTTGAGTTCAGAGTAACAACAAGTGTGCTCTTTATAAGCTCACATTGATCGTCACAAGACTATTATTCTTGGTTTTCGTTATTGCTAGATCCCGTCTGCTGATATTGTTCTAAATCGTCGTGTTGGTCAAGGAGCATTTGGTATGGTGTATGGTGGTGAAGCAAAACGTAACGGTCGATGGGAAGCCGTAGCTGTCAAGGTGATTGGTAATAAGGCCACTTATGAAGGAAAGACAGATTTTCTCTCAGAGGCTAAACTAATGAGGAGTTTAGATCATCGAAACGTTGTACGTCTGGTCGGTATTTGTTTGTATCCAAAAGAAAATCATCTGTATCTGATTATGGAGTTCATGCTTAATGGTGATTTAAAAACATACTTACTTTCTCGTCGTGTTCTAGCTCAACAGTACGTTTATGAATCTCTGCATTGTATGAATAATGTTTTTGTTTGCTGATGTTACTATTTACGGATTACAAATCAGTTTTAATCACAAATCTCAAAAGTATTAGTTTGCGGAAGTTAATACGGTTCTATCGATTCAGAAATGTAATACCTGTAGGATACCACTAGTATGCTCGATATTAGTTGACAGTAATCTGCAGAACTCGTTTTTCACTATATGATTATTAGGATTGCACAACAAAACACTTCTTCCAGCCAGAAAGTAATCATATTCCCTAGATGTGATACACCTCACGCACATTTTGATGGGGGTTTTTCTAGTTCAAGTCTCTAAGGTTGTGGTAGTTGATCGCCCTGTTAATAAAGCCCAATGTTCTTCTTAGATCTTCAAATTTATTAATGAATATGGTTTTAGGTCATTAGAAAGGTGTATCCATTACTTACCTTTGTGAAATATTGTTTATATAAATTTTTCATCTGTTTAGAATCCCGGACCATGAGGGCATCTGTCCAGCTACGCTGACTGGTATGGCAATAGATATCGCAGAAGGTTTGGCTTATTTACACAGAAAAAATCTGATCCATCGTGATATCGCCTGTCGTAACTGCCTTGTTGGTTCCGACGGAGTTGTAAAGATCGGAGATTTCGGTTTAACACGTGAAGTGACTAGTAGTGAAAGTGAAGGCTATTATCGTTTCACACGAAATTGTAAGTGTTGAGATAGAATAATTCATCATGAATAGTTTTTTGCCTTTTGTAATCGCCTTGTTTTATGTGTTCGTCCTACTTAATGTTATGATGATATGACTGAGATTATTCGTGAATAATTTCCAATATTTTTTGTGATCATTAGCAGTACATTCTATTCTGCATACCTTCAAAAGACTAGTATTCTAATATGCTACTATTACTCAGTTTTCTTACTGTTTTTTTCTCCTATGGCCTGTGTCCTTCAGATACCTATGGTAACATAGGCGTAGTTCAATAAAAGGCTGGTATGAGGTGGATAGATGTTTTGTTGAGACGACGAAACGAAACACATTCAACCACCTTGGGCTCACCCGTCCATAAGGTAATGAGCTACATCTATGGTGTGTGAACCAGGGGTACTACTTGGCTGCCCAAACCTTGGTGGTGAAGTGGGGTTCGTACCTGTGACTCACTTGTTGATAGTCATCTCCCTAAACCACTGAGCCACCACTCAGTGAGTGGATAAAATGTCGTTTCGTTTTTCTGATGTTTAACGCTGATTATCATGTGACATTGTTAAGCAGTTGCATTCACTTTTTGTCATCTTCGAAGTTTGAATATTTTTACTAACCTTCGTTATTTACTTACTCTGTGTTTGAATATAATTCTTTTTCCATTTATTTTTGTGCATTCTACTATAAAGTGTATCAACCTTGGACCGATGCGCTTCTGTCCAAGATTATTCATCTTCTCTGTTTCGTTAAGGGCTCATAGTGATGTTTATAAATCACGACTACAGTATGTGCCATCATTCTTGTCTGGTTTAGAAATTATTCTCAAATGAAGTAAGGAAAACCACCTTATGCTTCTCACGTTTTCTAACTTCTACACCACTTTATTCGTCCATTGATGAATCTGAGAAGCAGCCGTAAACCTAAGATTAATGCGTGTTATGGAATAAGGTTATCTTCTGTGAAGCATATTCTTAAAGGAGTAGAGTAAGTATGAATGTTGTTTGTAGCCTTTTTAGTACAAAACAACCGAACTCCCCGTTATAAATGAGCATCTTTTATTCTCTGTAAATGGTGAAAATAAATAAAGGTAAATAATTTAGACATGTGCAACACATAACGGTGTTGTTGAACATATTTTCTGTCTAAATTATTGGTAGAGATAGTGAATCTAATGGAGAATTATAAGAAGCTATATTCATAATGTTCATGAAATTAGTTTTAATTAATTGCTACACAAAAGCGGCTGCTTCGCGTCTTAAACGGTAAAATGAGTTGACGTGGTTCTGAAAATCAGTGTTGATGTAGTTTGACTTAATAATCTAAAAGATTTATACTTTTTCTTTTAAAACCGTTAAAATGCAACATCCAAGTTTTCATTTCAGTGACGACTAGGTGAAGACTATTTTTATCGAAATTAGTAGAACTGAAATATTTGGAATGTGTAGCATAGGTCAATTAATTTTGCAAACATGTGGGCCAGTTGTAGCTTGCTTTTCTAACGGGTAAATAAAAATGATTTAGAGAATAATAATGCATCAAAGTTCTTTTTTCATGCACTTATTAATGCAGAAGTATTTTTAGAACTGGTATTCTTTGAAGTAAAGCTTTCGGTAGCATCCTAACAGTAATCATCATCATTTTCTGGCATTAGTCTTTTCTTTCACTTGGGTTTTATTGCAAATACGAGCAAGGTATGAAGTACTGCACCGTCTCAACTATGATATCGTGCAGCAAAATAAGTTAATCAATTTAGGTGAGGATAGATAAAATTGTCGATTTTGAGATTACTATGAGTACTAGTAAAATATCACAAATTTGTGTTTAATTCCTTGTATGCAAATTATTATCTGCTTTTCACTTTCAACATGAATCGTCCTTTAGTTTCTATAACTTTTTCGCTTGGATTCTGTATTGTCTTCTTTTCTTTCTGTAGAACGTAGATCAATTGAAAGTCAGTTCATTACTTCTGCTACGGTCATCGCATCATATACTACTACTTAAACTACTTTTAACCTCTCAGACAAATATACACCAGATTGCAAGCTGTAGAGCGGAGCCTATTCGGCTTCCATATGAAATTGAAAGAAATATGTTCTTTATTTAATTCTTCACTTCATAAAAAACAATTGGTTACCATGCTCATAATATCAAGTTTCCATTAAGTTATTTTTGTCGAATTCTTTTAGGTGAACTTCCTATTCGTTGGATGTCTCCTGAAGCTGTTCAGTTTGGCGTTTTCAGTGTTCATTCTGATATTTGGTCGTATGGCATTGTTTTATATGAAATTATTACTTTCGGAGTATTTCCTTACGATGGTTTGGGTGATGTTGAAGTTGTCGAACGTGTAAAACGTAAAGACTTTAGTATTATTGAATTTTTGCCAGTAGCGGCAAGAGATACGACTATGTGAGTTTCATTGATATTTCATCAAAAAGAAGGTAATCTATTTTTATCAAATTTCAATATCCTAGATATTCTCATCGAGCCATAAAATAATAAAGACTTTGGTGAACAAATTTGTTCACGGTAATGTTGTCATCAGAAGCCGTACAATCGCGTCTAAATATAAATAGTTTTCATATCTATTTGCCATATGTTAACTTCATACACTTCATCCTCTTGACAAATTTCAGAATGCAAAATGAAATATCATCATTTTATTCACCAGTTGCGTACAACCTAAATTACATACACTATACTTTAGTCTAGATGAATGCTTATTTATGTGCGATTGGATCGATTACTCTAGATCCATAATAATAAAAGAAGAATGTAATCCAAGGGGAGGAACGTATTTACTAGTGAAATAACCAGATACCTGATTTGATTGGATACCAAATAGATATCTGTAATGCCTTCAGGTTGATATCAAAATAGAAATTGATGAGTTTACAACACTTCTGAATTTTAGGTTACACGTAGCTGCTGAATTTACGTGAAATAAAATGACGTTATTTTATTCCGCAAATCTACTCATTCCCACCTTGTTCAAAAATGTCATTATTTATCAGTTATGATTTTTTAGTAGATTGTGTCCAAAAAAAATTAGTATGAATGCAAGTTGTATGAAAAAACAGTGGTCAGTGAGGAATAGAATGAGAAATTAGTAGCTGAACCAAAAACGTTTACCTATTAACAACAGGAAAACTTGAAGAAAGGTTAGGTGTGCTTAATAACTGAAGAGTTTCAAAAATTAAAAAGCGAATAAAAATAGTGAATAGCAGATACGTTTCTAAATTCACACTTCTGGTTTCAATTCTTTTTTTGTCAGGGCTTCAGCAATGCAAAACAAAAACTTCCTGACACTTATCGAAAATTAACGTTACATTTCGTAGACTACTGCAAACAAATCTTTTCGAACTGTGTTCGCTGTTAACTAAATGTAATATTGATGTACCGATGGTTCCGCGTTTGCATTTCCTTTGCCATGCTTAGAGATGTAGATGTTGCAGCTTGATGATCTGCGTATGGTTTATATACAGTGAAGTATAAGTCACACTCGAATACTCCATAATTATGGCCTATTACCGACTTAAATGCGGTCGCACAGCTGCTAATGATGATGTCGCCAAAAACAATTTATTCGCTAGTCTTTGCTATTCTATAAAATTTCACTGAAATATTTTGAGAATTTAACATTTTATACCTTATTTATTTTCATGCTAAATTTTTTCAGCTCACGACTAATCTACCAATGCTGTCAGCATCAATGGCAGCATCGTCCTGCTTCACTAGACTATATCATAGCTATTTTGCGGAAGAACCCGGAGTGTGTTCGCCCATTCCTTACAGACGAACCACCTAAGCCAAACAGCACCATCGATGCCCTTCGTGTAAGTCATTACTGGTAATTTCTTTGATGTAGGGATCAGTATGTTTACAGCAAAAACATTTCAATTATTCTTTAATATAAGAGAACTTGAATACTCTGGCCCGAGGGTCATTCTATTTCTGTTTGTTAGATATATCACTCCGTGATCACCATGAAATGTGTTACATGAGAACTTTGATATGAACATAACAAGTACTCAAAAAGCCATGAAGTGAATAATACTCCCTTATAGTGATATATTTCATCAACTGAACTGTCATTTAAGTTGTTTTGTAAATCACCTTTAGAAATGTACGATGTCCATTGTTTTCTAAGGCATTCAAATAAGTAGTAATGGATTTGTTTAAAGTAAAGTCAAATAATAGTTAGACATTTCCGATAAGTTTATCATTATTTCTCTTCTGAAGAATTTTGATACTCAGGATTCTGATATTTGAATTAAATCTAAACTACTAAAAATACAAAAGTTATTTTGCAGCTTTGCATTCCTCGCTTGTTGTTTTTATCATCTGTTAAAAGGTTATTAAATATTCCGAGTAGTACAATGTATTCAATGACTATTTATGTAAATTGTCTGTGAAACGTAAATCTGTTGTTGTGAAAAAACACTTTTCACCATAATATTTAAGTGGATTCAATTGATCTAACATGGAATTGTACTCTGTCGCAATTATTTAGTTTCCCCCTTACATATTTTAACATTTATTGAGAAATTAGTTGTTATGTAACTAACTTTACTCTGAGGTAATATTTGCAATGCACTGTAACTGCTTCAAGTTAGTGTCATCAATATGTTCCGTTGAGATAATTTACAAATGTCATTTCTTGTTTCCTCCTTTTCAGTTCCAACCGGGTGCCGGGGCGTGTATAATGTCCAAAAATACTCTGGCTTCTTGCGACCCCTCTCCAAGTAATCCTGTGACATCTAGTACTGTTTCTGAAGGCACTCATGGTTACCCAATTAGTTCTAGTATTCGAGGTGTTCTTAGCGCAACAGGTAGTTTGGGGGGTGTTGGAAAGTCTCCCATAGCTTATCGTTCAGTTGATTCGTTTTCAGAGAACGTTAGCTCTTCTGTATTTCTTTCATTCCTTTCTGAGGCTCCTCTTCAAAACCTTGGTCGGCGTCGCCACAAGACTGCTGATGGTTCAACAACAGCTGGACGCTATCATGGCATACGTCGAGGTACTAGTTCTTCTTCATGTGGGCATACATTCCGTAGTTCGGAACAGAGTTCCGGTGGTCGTTCAACTGCTGAAGACCAACTTCATCCCACAGGTGACATACCTTTCATCCCGATTTGGCAAAAAGTAGACACTTTTGGTTTTAAAGCGTCTTTACCATTTGGAGACAATATATTAAAAGATTGTCCAAAATCACGACAAGGAAAACCTAGCCCCGTTAGAAATCTATTTAGCAAACAAACTAACCTTGAAAATGAACGTATGGAGTTAGTTTTTTCTAAAAATCCGTCTGTTTGTCGTGATATCCAGGGTTTATCTAATCAGTTGTTTATAACTTCTGGAAACTGTGCACAAGATGTGTTGGAAACTAAAATTTCCCAACAAGATATTGGAAAGGAGCGCAAGTGTTCTAAAGATGTGCAAAAAGATGAAAATTTAACTTGTAAATCAAGGTAAGTTAGCATTCTTTGTCAATCGTAAATTATAATTGAGCTAATCATTCATTGTATTTCCAATAATAGAGATAATGACCTCGGTCGCCATGTAAACTTGCTTGTTCTTGGAAGCACCATAGAATCTGTAAAGCAGTGGTTTTTAAAGGTATCATATACCTTGAAACTGGCATTCCTTCTCCGTGAAACATACCAGTCTACTATCGATTTCTCTGTATGGCTTCTTGTTTCCTGCTAGTTTGGTTTCCTAAAGTGTAGCAGGTGGACAAGATTAAATATGCTGCAATACTGTATCAGTCAGTCATTCAGTCACCGCATAAGGTCTGGCATTACTATATAGTTGTTCAAGTTGCCAAACTAGTAGGTAAAACTGGTCGCAGTTCTTTACCGATACATACACAGTTATGTAAGGAAATATTAAGAGTTGTCTTCTGAAGTTGAAGCAACTAGTGATGTCCGGCAGGGATGCCTACTGTTGCCGTCCATTTTTAACCTCGTCATAGATGTATTGACAGGCATAACTCTAGATTTCTCCGACCTTACAGGAATTGATCTGCTCTGTGAAAAAACACATGGCTGATTCGGGCGTTACCCTGTAAGACGAATACGCTGACAAAATGCAAGGTTTTCTGAACGTTTTGAGCATTAATCTGTGTATGTTTGACATGCGTTTCGCACCTGTGAAACGTAAGATAACGCTCCAGGACTGGTCTGCAACTACCCCTTGCCTAAGGATAGAGAGTGAAGTTGTGGAATATGTCGACCTCTTCACTTATTTGAGGAGTTGCATCAGCTTGAACAGGTTGGTTGCTGACGAAATCTCAACTTGGACACGTCAAGTCCGTGTAACATCTGTAGCGCTGGCATGAAATCCGACTACCTGTTAAATGACGAGTATACTGCACTATCATCCATTCTGTTCTGTTACATGGCTGTTATAAGTAGGTGTGAAGAGATAACCAGTTTTTGGCTATAGATATCTTCATAGCGTTGCTCATGTATGGTGAGATCACCATGTTGCCAATGTCGAGATCAAACGAACAGTACTGGGCAAGGAAAACAAGTCGGTCGATGAGGTTATGCACCGTTAGCGACGAATTCTTTCGATACTTTCGGTAATTTTTGGAAATGAATTTAAGAATACGTAAGCAAACTATCAGTCTTCAGTATCACTAATTATTGAGATTCTTAGTAGAATTGGGTACTGATAACCATTTAAAAGTAATGGCAAATTGACTTTGGACGTATCCTTAGAGCTAATTTCAGATAAATGACTATCTGAAGTAGAAAAGTTCCAGTTGTCAACATGTCAATCCTCACTTTACTTGGTAGTCAGTCTGATCATTGTGTCAAGCGTGTCTTATCACCTTCGGTACTTCTTAGCTCTGTTCTCTTGCTTTTTTACTAACTAGATTCTCTTAATACCTGGGTTTCTTTTTTACTGGTTACTCAATATGAATTTATCTACTCGTGAATAATAGGTGGTTGTAACGACTGATTTTACTGACCAACGTTCATTTCTCGGTCTTTTTAAGCTGAAGATGTACTGTTTAACTATCCACAGAAAACCAATAACGGCACATATCCAAAAAGTGCTCCTGATGTCTACTCCTCAGCTTGCGTTCCAGAATCTGTAGTAAAGGATACGTAACTAATATTTGAAACTGACACTCAACCTTTCCTACCTGATTATTATTATTGTTATTATTATTATTATTATTATTATTATTATTATTATTATTATTATTATTATTATTTGTCCTTTGCGTCTCTAGTGGAACATAGGGCTTCAGTAGCACATCACCATTTCACTCTGTTCTCTGTAGTCTTTTCAACCTGGCTCAATGAGTGCCCAGAAGCTTTCATTTCTTCCTCATATGATCTGTATGTCACTTTCGGATACTCAACTCGTCGTTTCCCATTTGGCTTCCTACCTGAAAACAGTTGTCAGTCACATCAAGCTACTTTGCTAATGAACATAGTATTTTTCATTCACAAAATAACTGCATTGAATATGACATTGATAAAACTACCTCATACTAGAAATACTTCCAGCTTACTTCGTCCTGTGCTCTGCATTATCACTCACGGTAGTATAAGTGAGTATAGGTGGTAAATTTATGGTCTCCAAATCATCACTTTTTTCTTATGGTTCAGATAGCATTCAAAATCGTGTTAATACTTCTGTTTCACCTCATACAAATCCACCTTTTATTTCATTGTGTCTATCCGTTTTCACAAAACACTTCTCTGTTTTCAATTCCAGTATTTTGCATAATCAGAGGTGTACTATTCCTACATCGCGTACTATCTCATCTGCCTCAGGACACCATAGCAGTCTTACTGAAACTAACAAAACTACATTAGAATCCCATCGTACGACATCTGTTCCTGAAACCCTTTTTCCAGATCCAACTTTGGATACAACTATCTTCAACCGTCAATTATTTCAAGATTCTGAACCAAAGCGACCAGTTACAAATGATTTGTCTGGTTTACCCACTGCAAATTCGGATGAATCTCTTATAAATCAGAATTACTTTTACTTTGCATAGTTCCTTTACGTTATTTTATTCTAATTAGAACTTCCCGGTTCTTGATATATTGTTGACGATCATACCTCAGTACCAATCATGATGTATCTTGTTGACCAATAGTGTACTATAAGTTCGTAAAGTTATTGTTAACTGTTGACATAATGTTTTTTCCTGTTTATTGGGATTCTGGAATAAGGTAATTAGGTTGCTAGTTAGAAAAAATTTCATTTTTTCCCATTAACTTTTCACTTCTCTGTTTGATGTTCGTACACTTATCGTTGGTGGTATGTACTTAATTGCTTTCAGAGATGATTTCCTTTTTTTAATGTATAGTGCAAATTCAAAGCCAGGAAGATACGGACAAAGTTTGGACGAAGAGAATTGCAATTCATGCTGTAGATGGTGTTCCTTTTTCTATTTTGTGACTTTCTTCACTTTTAACAACAATGCTCATTTTATTCTGTCAATCGTGAAATGATGAAGAATATTTGTAGCTTGATTGTATTGTGTTCTTTGAACTGGGTTATTTATAGTGGAGCTTTCATCGTCTTTCTAGATGACATCATTAGCACTAACTTCAGTATGAAGTGAGCTGTTAATATTTTCCCATGAGTGATTTAGTAGCTTGCTCTCGAGCTGCGCTATAAATACCCCACCTCATATAACACAATACAATGTAAATTGGCTTTCACGACATAAATCTGGTCAAACGGGAAGAGTATTATCAGCATTTATAAATCTTTGCTTTTTAAGTTTACGTAATATTTGGTTAGTATAGCGTTTGTCACTCCCCCTCTCTCTAATACACCAACTGTCTGTGTTATTCGTCAAATCAAACAAATGTTACACGTAGCTACGTTTCGTTTTACACTGTTCTTTATGCTTGTTTTGACGTGATATAAAGTCAATCTCACTTCTGTTGATACCTGGTCCTTGTGACACGACGTGTGTATATTTTCTTGTTTTAGAAGGAATAATGGTTGTTCCGATTAAAATTATCGTCCTGACCTGAGACTGTATTTGGAGACAGACTTCCACAGTTTTTTTGGAGTTGTGCTTTAACACTGCCATTGCATTTACTGTATTTCGTCATGATTACCGTAAGTAGTTTTAGTGGCCATATGATTTCACTAATAAACTGTTGTATAGCCGCTATTAGAGTTGCACTACATGTTAAACAGCGATTTAATGGCAGTAAGGTGTTCATGTGCGCACAACTTCTTTTGAAAGATGTTTGATAAGGTCTATCCTAAACGACCTGTTATGAAATGTAAATTTCTTTAAAGGATTAATGGAACTGATCAAGAAAATTTCTGTTGATTTTTCGTACAACATTGACCTAGTTTACTTTTTTTTGCACATCATGGCTATCGGAAAGCGTCAGATTACTTCATACTTCCAACAGCACAATTCCCTCTTTTTTTACCGTCCATTTTTATCATCTTTAGTTCCTTATTATCTTTCTTTTCCTAAACACCTGTTCACATCGAAATTTTTAATTTTGTTCTATGTCTTTGAAATTATTTATGTCGGTATGAATCAGTTAGATACCATTAAGGCCACCCTGCATGTTACAGTCTTCAGAACCTGGAGCCTCAACTACATGTGGCAATGACCAAAACTGCTAAGTCGTGAGCTTTTGATGTATGTTGTACTTAGCTCTCATACACAAGACCTACATGTACTTTGCTTGATCTCAAGTTGCATTTGTTTATCTATACAGTCCATTCTATAGGTATCAGAAAACTCAATGTCATGTTGATGTGTTTGCCGTTGAACAAACAACAGTAACATTTACCAGTGTTGTTGTCCACGTAAACCTCGTCGATAATCATGTGTATTCTGTTTCACTAAACGTGACGTTTATACTCATCCTGAGGTAACCTGGTGTGATAATAAGTCTGGTGTATGGACAGCGATAAAGACAATTGGTAACCTACAGCCGAAGGTTAGAAAATGTCATTGAATTTCCTGAACGTCATCGGAAGTGATTGATGTGATAAGACTGATTCTAGCTGGCTGTGACGACAGTGAAAAGCGAGAGCAGCTGCAAGGTAGATTGACGAAGAGTCTTCTCGTGGATGGCGAGTAGTGGTGGGTGACGAGAGGGGGAGCGAGAATGATGGAGAAGGTATCAGCGTTGGGTAACAGTCGGTAAGTATTTAGGTTTATCAAGGATACTGGAAGGAAGGAAGGAAGGAAGAGGACGATGGTTAGTGGAAACCATGAGCGAAAAGGATAGGATTCTGATAATCTTCCAGGACAGACGACTAGAACGTTGGGCTTGAATACTTTGAAGCACAGTTCAACTAGCTTTGAGGAACACTTTAGTTTCCGAACATGTTGTTTGAATCTGAAAGCAAACGAATGTCGATCTCTGTCTCTTCGCAACGATGAAAGACGGCAGCTTACCACCCAAAGGTATTCAAAAGGCCGATTTGAGTGACAGGTACTCTGCAGTGTATAGGAATCAGGGCTAGTTCCGTCAGACTGGTCTACACTGATCATTCTAGTTCATAATAACGGAGAGAAATCTTTCGACAACCTTGGGGGAATTAGTTTGACTGTTATTGTGTCTAGGATCTTATCCGAAGTGTAGCTGAGGGATGAGAAAAATATTGAGGCTTCAGAGCTGGATGAGTGTGCATAGACCATATTTTGACCCTCCGACAAGTTCTGGAAGAGGTGTACCCAGTGGGCTGACTCTTGCCAAGTTTCTTGATCTGAAGGCGCTTTTGACTCTGCGACCGTGAGGTTTTGTGATGGTCTGAGTGAAGGGAATACCTAGAAATCATATCACTCCATCGAAAGCTGTCTACTCGAACTCGCAACCGTGTAAGGTGGGTTCCCAGAGGTGTAAAAGTTGGTCATTGTGAGATGTTTGGTTCGCACGTTCATGGTTTACCATGGAAATGTTGGACAACAAGTTTTTGGATTTTATTCGCCATTGCTCTTGTTCAGCACTTTCTTTCTCTGATAAGTGTGTTCAAGATCATGATGATCTGAGAAACACTTTTGGGATGGGATCTGTCTTAATTGCGTGGTATACATTCCAGTCCATATATAAGTCCACCTTTTTGATGTAGTTGTCTATATCCTCAACTAGAGTGATATACCCTGTGTCGGCTGGAATTATGATGTTCCTTTTGTTCTTTAATTTCTTATGAGCTCTTTGTTCATTGATGAGATGAGTACAGTTTTGCTTCCGCCAGGTCAAAGGTACGATTACTTGTCGTATTTCCTCTTGGGTCTCATAGTTTGGACCTCAAGTCTTCAGTGATGACTCTAGGATTGCAGGAAATTCTGGTCTTGAAGCGTCTCCCATATTGTAATTTAGTCCTTTCTGTAGGAGAAATTCCTCCCATTTGGTCAGAAGTTGTTTGAATAAGTCGACTACACAATCACTTGCTTCTTCCCCTTGTGATGCCTGTCGTTTTATATCTTGGCAGACTTCTCTCCAAAATTTTTTTTCTCGGTCCTTTTTGTCGGCTGCTCGGTTTTTTCAGTAGCAGCGACCAACGTTGTAAAGTGTTCTGTTATGAGCATCCCCTGAAGCTTTTTGTTTTGGCTGTTTATCGTCCGTTGACATTTGCCAATCTTATAATGGGCATTGGTGATCATCAGTTGTACCATGTGTCTTCCACTTAATTAAGGCTAATTGGACAGTCAGTGTGTATCTGCTGACCCCAGCTTGTTCTGCCGACTAGTATCAGATACACGCCACCTACTGAGAAAACCAAACACTTCGTAGGTACAATAAGCCTGGATACGACGAATAGATAGCCGTAACGTAGCCATCGGACACGGTGGATGGTCATGCCGGAGGAAATAAATCCGTTCAATAGCAGCCAACGGTAAATCATAACCCTCAAACAGACTTCTGAAAATCCTAATGGATACTTCCCAGCAAGAACAGAGTTAATGATGACTCGGTTTGACTAAACGTCACGCAATAATTAGAAAACTGCTTTTATGAAGATGGCCAGACGGATGACAGCGAAAGACGGTACGTTTTCAAATAGAACACTCAAATTTCTTAAAGGGGGGTGGGTATTAAGGAGGATACTCCATAAGTGTACGTTTTATACCTTGATTTTACAAATTTATCTTGTGGGAAATTTGAGTTATCTTTTTTCCATTCAGTGTGTATCACTCAATTTTACCGCTTTTAAGATCTCTGTTTTCCTATTGGTTAGCCTCCTACATTTAATATGCTATGTTATTTATTCACCTCAATAGTGCACGCATTGTATATAAACACGAGTTGTGTTGATGGGTTGTTCCTTCATGCTTGTATTGGAATAAACTCGATTCAGTTCAGAGTTGTCTTCTTGTGTCAACTAAGCTGTTTGTCGGCTATCGTATGTTCGCGTCCACAGTAAGTCGTATCCCACAGTCACTACACCAGCAGATTGTCATAGTTTCTATTGCATTCAACTGGAAAGCTTACTCTTTTCACATCCAATCATTCGCTGTTTCAAAATGTGTACCCTCGATAAACTAGCCAACGGCAAATTGAAAATATATTAATTTATATTAATAGCGTTATGAGGAACCTAGAAAAGGAATTTGATAACGTGATAAAAAAAGTATAAATAACAAAAGAGGGATGAAGATGATAGAGAATGTATTCACGATACAACCCATTTCAAGAGTCGCAACCAGACTAGTACCATTTCAACAGTGTTAACAGACATGCATTTATAGTGTCAATGTGAAATAAAGAAATGGAAAACGAATGCAATACCGACATTTTCAAACGTTAAATTTAATACTGATATTCGAAACAAAAACACTGGAAAAAAGTGGTCAATGCGAAACAATTAAACAAAACAATAGAAAAAAGAAACGCGGCTAGCTCTGAATGCAAAGAAGAACCGAATAACAAATAGTCTGTTGTGGACAATATATTTTATTATCACAATGCACTCTAGGTTGTTCGTGAAAATAAAATAAGGTTGAGCAATAGATATGACCTGCTCTTCTCCGTCTTCCAAGAATGCTGGTTTCATTCTGTC